TAAATTATTTAAATCCATTTTAAGTTATCTTAGATCGAGGGGTTTGTTAATTGTAAGTTATTTGGATGATCTTTTGGTGTTAGGTGAATCCAAAAATTCATGCCTCAAAAATACTCGAATTACAATTGGTTTACTTTCAAGATTGGGATTCCTTGTGAATTTTGAAAAGTCCTGTTTAAGTCCATGTCAAAGAATAAGGTTTTTAGGATTTATTTGGGATAGTAAAAATATAACTATTAGTTTACCTGTTGAAAAAGCTAATAGAGCTGCCCAATTTATTTCGGACATTAAATCTTGCGTTAAATTAAAAATTCGTGTCTTTGCTAAGCTTATCGGATATTTGGTCTCGATATGCCCTGCCTTTACTTATGGGTGAGCACATGAGTCTTGAGTATTTAAAATGTAAATCCCTAAAAATATCAAACGGAAATTATAATGCGAAAATGGAATTATCGACAGATAGTTTGTCCGATTTAAATTGGTGGTTAGACAATATTAATAGGTCTGGCTGTACAGTAATCCAACGTTGTTATTCGTATACAATTTTTTCCAATGCGTCTAGTTCAGACTGGGGTGCAGTTTGTTCTGCTCAAGAAACAGGTGGTTTTTGGAATAAAGAAGAAGCAAAGCACCATATTAATTATCTGGAGCTTCTGGCAAGTTTGTACTCATTACAGTCGTTTGTTCAATATTTTACTCAAAGTTGATAACATTACGGCAATTGCTTGTATAAATAAAATGGGGAGTACAAAAAATAAAAAATTAGCTTCGTTGTCTAAAGCAATATGGACATTGTGTGAAGATAGGAATATTTTCCTATATGCTTCCTATGTTAGATCGAGAGATAATAAAGGTGATTATGAGTCAAGATCGTCAAAAATAGAAACCGAATATGCTTTATGCGATAGAGCTTTTAAAATCATTACAGTACGGTTAGGATCGCCTTCTATAGATTTATTTGCTTCATATATGAATACAAAATGTCCACTTTATGTTTCATGGAGATCAGATCCAGGTTCCATAGCAATTGATGCGTTCTCATTATCCTGGACCGATCTCAACTTTTATGCCTTTCTACCATTTCCTTTGATATTGAAAGTGATTAAGAAACTTATTTTCGACCGAGCAGAAGGTATTATTATTGTACCTTTATGGAAAAATCAACCTTGGTACCCACTTTTCATAGAATGTTTAACAGAACCTCCAATTTATTTTGATCCCGCCTGATCTTTTACTTTCTCCCTTTAGGGAAAGTCACCCGGTATGGCCAAACATTACCCGGGTTGCAGGAAGATTATCGGGAAAGCTTACAAGGAACAAGGAATCGCCGAGGACGCAATCCCTACTCTCATAGCTTCTCTTAGTGTTAATACTCTAAAGCAATATGATTGTACATATAAAAAGTGGTGGAGTTTTTGTTCTCAAATAGTATTAACTGGCTTAATCCAACTATAAATAATGTTCTTTCTTTTTTAAATCAAGAGAATGGGAATGGAGCTTCGTATAATACTCTTAATTGCCATAAATCGGCACTTAAAGTTATTATAAATTTTGACGATGGGGAAAAAGTATTAAACCGGTTTTTTTAAGGGAATCTTTAGAAAACCCAGTATTTCCTAGGTATGAGGTAACCTGGGATCCACAAGTAGTTCTTGATTTCCTGGCTACATTATATCCCTTGGAAGATATTTCATTAGAATTGCTTACTTATAAAATCATTATGCATATATCCCTAGTCTCTTCACATAGGGTTTAGACAATGTCGAAAATTAAAATGAGTGATATCAAGTTTTTTGACTCTGAATACAAGATCTTTATTTCAGAATTAATTAAGACGTCCTCACCAAATAGACAACAACCTGTTCTTGTAATTCCATTTTTTAATGACAAGCCTGAAATTTGTGTTGCCCGTACAAAATATTGCCCGTAATATATGGAATATTACATAAAAATAACGTCTTGGTATCGAGAGCGTCAAAAATTTTTATTTCTAACACATAAGAAACCATATCGTGTAGCGACAGCACAAACTATAGCAAGATGGTTAAAGATTGTTTTAGATAAGTCAGGAATCGATATTTTTCTTTTTAAGGCACATAGCATTAGACATGCGTCAACTTCAGCAGCATTTCGCGCAGGTGCGAATATTGAATGCATTAGGAATACTGCTAGGTGGACAGAAAACTCAAAAACATTTATAACATTTTATAATAGGCCTTTAATTGTTAAAGATACTTTTGCCGAAAAAGTTATTTTTCAAAAGTAGGTTATTCTATAATAATTAGTTGGATCATAATTATTTTTGTTTAAATGATCTAGTATTTTTGTGTATTTGTGTAACCTTAATGTTTTTGCGAGATACTTTATTACGACTGTTTCTTAATAAATTCTTTTTTCTTGCTACTGGTCGTTTTCCTAGATTATTTAACGGTAATGTTTATTATCAACCCTATAAATCTGATACTTTGCTTTTATTTGCTTTAAACATCTACACAGTGGTCTATACGAACGTGGTTAAGAAGTATAATGAGAGATTAAACGACTTACCTGTAAGGAAGTTCAATCTTCATTTACGATTGACCACGTTCGTATAGACCACCCCTCCCTCCCATTTGTTTTCAACCCCTAGATCAGATTTATACTTCAAACGTATTGAGGATCGGATTTGGGTCCAGGGAGCTGCATGGTCAGCGGAATTTTGTTTTGCTTAGATATCAGTGACACTTTAAGCGACAGAGACGTAACTACACAGTGATCTATACGAACGTGGTCAATCGTATAATGAAGATTGAACTTCCTTACAGGTAAGTCGTTTAATCTCTCAATATATTTGCTTTAAATGAACATAGAGTGCTAAGTAGTCTACCCTCTAAAACACTCATTCCGTGGCCAATTTTTAATTATGTTATTGCAATCTGTCTCCTGAAATATTTGATTGAAATCTACTTCTTTCCATAAATTATTCTATATGGCACAATAGAGTTTTCAACTGTAATCAATTATTCTTGTGTTCATTCCATTTTACTAACAATATTTTGTATTTACTGTCAGATCTAGTAATTACAGTGCGTCTCCTAAATGCCATTTTAAAACAATATGATATATTCTTTAAAGCATTAGGTGGATGTGGCGATTATATTAAGGTTCTATACCTTTTATAAAAAACATAAATGATTACTTTAAATGTGGTTGAGGCTGTAGCAAAAGAAACTTTAAAACGATAAGCCAAACCTTTATGCTATAGATCTAATCTTAATTTAATTAATGTTAATAATAATTGTTTTAACTTGCTTAGAGAATTATAACATTGTTAACCATATATAGCTGGTGGTAGTACTTTTATCATTGTCAAACAAGTCAACTTGTATGTGTGCATTATCAAATGGATTTATTGTATTTGTATGATATTTTTTTTATGAATGAATAAAAATCTATATAATATTTATTACATCTTTTATTATTATTAATAAAATACAGTTTTATACTAAATTAATACTTCTACATCAACTAAATTATTGGATGAATTATCCTGGTTAACTAAATTGCTATTTATGTTAGTGTTTACATCATCTGTTACTTGTTCGTAGAGTATTCCCCCATTTTTTTACAAATTTATTTAAATATGTTATTTGATTTATAAAGCCTAATTCTATACAGATAATAATTCTAATATATCATAATTTTCATAATATTGTGCACAAGCATCCTCTTTCATATTTTTGTATCAAATCATAATATATTTTTTCCATCTGCCTAAGTTTTTGAAGTTTCATGAAATGATTTATAAAATTCTTGATCAATATATATTAGGGGTGACCGGGGTTAGTTGTTACGATTTTTACAAATGCATTTTTAATATTTTTCCCGTTAATATAACACATTTTATTTTAACGCCTATTTATTTGCCAACAATTAATGCATTTAAAAATAGAAGTTTAATTTATTTAAACTGCCACAAACAAAGTTATAAATAATTTAAGTAAGTAGGCACAATGTCACAACTTACCCCCGATTCGGGGTTGGTTGTTACACTGATGGGGTTAGTTGTGACAAGCTTGTTTTTTTACATGTCATCGTCAAAACTGCAATTTAAACAAATGAAAAATGGATTTTTATTTGTACATTCAAGGATGAGCCCAGTTAGAACACACAGTGCATTTTACCCAAAACCTCCTCTTCATCTTCAGAGCTGCTAGAAGGAACGTTTTTGATTTTGTTTTTGCAAATGTTTCTTTTTGTGCCTGACAGTTTCACTTTCGGATGGTAGTCCGCACTTTCGTCCCCTTTTCTGATGCTTTTGGTGATGGCCGTAAATCTCGAGGGGAGAAGTATGATTGTCCTTTAGAAGGTCCAGGTAAATTATCAGGTTCCGAGTTGTCCATTTTCTTGTTTATATCGGGTAATGCTGGAGGTAAATTCACTATAACAGGTGAATTTGGAGGAGTTGCTTCTTGAACGATTTCGGGTTGGTTCGGTACTGGCTCTTCAATATTTGGATTCGGACGGTCTGTTACAGCAGCAGGAAGAATCTCATCTTCTCCGAAAACGTTTCTGTTAACGGGAAACACACCACTTACTTTAAATCCAGCCTGAATATTCTTCGGGGTTGCCGCCAGCGGTAGAGCATCTTTTGCAATTTTCGGTATGTCATATATAGTCATTGTCTTTCCCGGGTTGTTGCGCATCTAGGAATCGCAACCAGTATATATATATATATATACTTGTTAAGCGGTCCATAGTATCTATCCATAGTCAATAGTAATTGATCCAGTGGCTGGAGTTTATGGGAGCAATACGAGGGCATGGAAATTACTAAAACTCCATTTTCTTTGCAATTTTTTTTTAGCGATAGGTGTGAATCGTGGTTGTCTAATAGCAGCAATACCGGTTTGTCTTTAGATGCTCGAGAATGCTTCACAAAATGTTGCAAGAAAATATAAAAATCGTTTTCCGTCATCCAGCCAGATGGATTGGCAGATCCAATGCAACCAGGAGGGCCATTATTTACAAAATATTCCCTGTAATTTTTTCGTGAAAAATAGGAACATGGGAGGGATTAAATTTCCATTGGCATTGGCAGCAAAGCAAAATATGACCAGCGTCCCTCTTTCGGCAGATGTTACAAAACCGACCTGTTTAGCTCCTTTTCTAGCCACAATTCTGTCTGGTTTTTGCACCGTGGCTATTCCCATTTCATCAACATTATACATGTCCTGGGGTTCAAATTTGTATCGATCTACAACTTCTTTCAGTAGATTGAAAAACGCAGCAACATTTGTCTGATTAAAGTTTGTACCTTGACTAAGGCTAGTCGCTTCGGGAATCCTGAGGAATAGCCTTGGATGGTGTTTAAGAAAATTTGTCAACCAGTCTACGGATGCCATTTGATTTGCAGTCCAGTTTGTACGTACAACTATATTATTCTTAATGGCAAACTCGAACGCCAATCTACGAATTTCTTTTGTGGATAATCCAAAATATAATTTTGACCGATCCAGCAGATACTCAGCTAACTCAGATTCCATATCATCGGGCAACACCTCGCGAGTTCGTTTATATCCTACATGGGCAGGTAGATCTGATCCTAAAAAGAAAAGGTTTTTATAATAGCTCTATATTCACGGTCGACTAAAAAGACTGACTACATTGGTAAATCCAGTGTCAATCAGCTCAATCCAATTGTATCATAATAAACTTACCATCATTTTCTCTCTGCTTGTGTCTCTTACAGAATCGTTGTAATGTCATAAAATTTATCTCAAAATCAGCAGCGACTGTCCGCTTTTTTCCCGCAAGACTTTCCGTTAACAAGTACCTCATTTGCTGCTCGTTTAAAAACATCTAAGCCGGTCTTCCCCCTCTCAGTTTTGCGTTTATAGGTTCTCATTATCCTTCCTAAAACGACTTCTTATGGTAAATGTACATTGTCAAATTTACTATGGGGTAAGTTGTTACAGTAACAACCTGCCTCATAGGAAGTGTCACAACTAACCCCATCGGCCATTTTGCTAATATTTCTATGATATTTTTTTAGATACGATAAATAGCCGATAAAAAGTAGCGGTTTATGGAAGAAAATACCTGATATTTTACATTGATGTCCTAATCAAATTATATTCATTAACACACAAAATTGTATAAAAGAATAGTTTTCAATTTAAGAATTTACTTTTATACGTGAGAAACACATTAATCATCACTACGTGTACGAATCTCAACGGAAGTAAATCAAAGTACGAGACGTCAAAGCTGATGCAACGACTGTCAAAACGCGCCTATGGCGACACTGTTGCCATCTATACATTGTTACAGTAGTAAAAGCTACTGTAACAACTTACCCCTATAACAACTAACCCCGGTCTCCCCTACTGCACTAATAAGTTCAATAGTGTCACTTGAAATTTTTCAGTTTAATACAAAATATAGTTTTTTAACTATTCCGGAGCACGATATTGACAAAGAGGTTTTTTTTTTATATTGAGCTTCCAACTTGCCTTTAAATTGCTTCCAACTTGCCTTTAAATCTTCGCAGTAACTGACCTCTAGCGTCGCCCAAGTGGACCCTCTCGAACACCGTTAAAAGTTCTATTATTGAATTCCTCGTTACTCTCAGGTATGGGACAATGTCTCTTTGTTCACTTGCAAAATATGGATGTCCCAATGCACGTACGAACTCGTAAAGATTAACCCTAAAACCGATTAGGCTCGTTTCTATTTGATTTTGTAGTTCAGCAATTTAGATAATGCAAAACTGAGCTGCTCAAATTTGTTGCGTAAGTTATCCATTGAGAATTGTGTTTTATATATTTCTCTTACTTGTGTTTGGGAAGGTTACCGGTGTATCTCTAATTAGAGGAATTATTAGCGATATTGTGACGTATTTTTCAGCTGAAAATATATTAATTAAATCACAGGCTGGCTTAGATATAATCATAAAATCTTTTAAAAAGCATCCCAGTCGTCGATCTTCCATAAAATAGACTGTTGGGAATAAATTAGTTAAAGTAATACTTAATGCATCTTTAATTTCAAAGAAGCTTTGAAGCTTTAGGTAACATGAGTTCCCACGTGTTGGTACATCTTGTATAACTTTTAAAACTGAAGTATTTAGCTGTTCTTCTCTGTTCACAGAGACCTGTATTTAAAGTGTCCGACGAGAGACTTACATTTATTTAAAAAGCCAATTAACTTTTCATCACGCTTCAAAGCTTCACTCATTGTTAAATTTAAAGAATGCGCGCACACAAAGATGGTAATAGATTTGTAAATATCTTTTTATATATTTTTGATATTGGTACCATTGTCCGAATCTGTCTCCTGAAACAGTCACAACTTTATTTAAAACTGTCCATTCTGCAAAAATAGCACTTAACGTATTTACAATATTTTCCCCCGTATGAGATAATATTCTCTTGTGGCAATAACTCGAGATATTAGTTTACGATTATACATAAAATATGCATTTAAGTAAGTTAACATCTGAGGTCCACATTTCAGCTATCGTCACCCTAGAATAAGATTGTTCTATAGACCAATTCGATGAAACTGAGAAAACAAAGTTTAAAGTTTAAACTGGATATCCGTGAACACTATATACCAAAATGGTTCTATTAAACATATAAATTAAAGGTAATATAAAAACCTATTAAACGTATGTATTTATTTTATTTTTAGAAGCTTTATTTAAAAGATATTAGTGATTTTAGATTTGGATATAGAACAAATGTGTCTATTAGCTGTGCATTGGGCCGATTTTAGGGATATAGAACAAAATAAGGGGATATAGAATAATATAATACCCATTTTAAGCTGATTTATTTGTATTTCAAAATATTATTTTAACACAAAATAACTGAAGTGGAGACATTAAGTCATTAACTAAAAACAACATAAAAAAATTAAAACCTAAAATACAATAGTAGTAATTATTCGTCTGCATTGTTTATTAAAAACTATCATTTTTTTTTCCGCCTATTTGTTTGGTGTTAGAATAACTTAATAATGTATAGTGTTAGAATAACTTAATCAGATTTTAAATCTGATTTTTAACTTTCATTGGATTATTTAAATGTTTTTATCTTTAGTATTGATAGTATTAGAGAACGATTGAGCAGTCAATTGAGTTGAAGCAGCTGGTTTCACGAAATTCCAAAGTGTGAAACATTCGAATTTGCTAACAAATCAGGAAATCAGTGCTTTTCAAACGAACGGTTGAACAGTCAATTGATTTGAAGCAGCTAGTTTCACGAAATTCCGAAGTGTGAAACATTCGAATTTGCTAAAAAATCAGGCATTTCAATGAGTGCTTTTCAAACGAATGACTGAGCAGTCAATTGAGTTGAAGCAGCTGGTTTCACGAAATTCCAAAATGTGAAACATTCGAATTTGCTAACAAATCATTGCTTTTCAAACGAACGATTGAGCAGTCAATTCAGAGTGCTTTTCAAACGAACGATTGAGCAGTCAATTCAGTTGAAGCAGCTGGTTTCACGAGATTCCAAAGTGTAAAACATTCGAATTTGCTAACAAATCAGGCAATCATTGCTTTTCAAACGAACGATTGAGCAGTCAATTTAGTTGAAGCAGCTGGTTTCACGAAATTCCAAAGTGTGAAACATTCGAATTTGCTAACAAATCAGGCAATCAGTGCTTTTCAAACGAACGGTTGAACAGTCAATTGAGTTGAAGCAGCTAGTTTCACGAAATTCCGAAGTGTGAAACATTCGAATTTGCTAACAAATCAGGCATTTCAATGAGTGCTTTTCAAACGAACGATTGAGCAGTCAATTGAGTTGAAGCAGCTGGTTTCACGAAATTCCAAAGTGTGAAACATTCGAATTTGCTAACAAATCAGGCAATCAGTGCTTTTCAAACGAATGGTTGAACAGTCAATTGAGTTGAAGCAGCTAGTTTCACGAAATTCCGAAATGTGAAACATTCGAATTTGCTAACAAATCAGGCATTTCAATGAGTGCTTTTCAAACGAACTATTGAGCAGTCAATTGAGTTGAAGCAGCTGGTTTCACGAAATTCCAAAGTGTGAAACATTCGAATTTGCTAACAAATCAGGCAATCAGTGCTTTTCAAACGAACGATTGAGCAGTCAATTGAGTTGAAGCAGCTGGTTTCACGAGATTCCAAAGTGTAAAACATTCGAATTTGCTAACAAATCAGGCAATCATTGCTTTTCAAACGAACGGTTGAACAGTCAATTGAGTTGAAGCAGCTAGTTTCACGAAATTCCGAAATGTGAAACATTCGAATTTGCTAACAAATCAGGCATTTCAATGAGTGCTTTTCAAACGAACGATTGAGCAGTCAATTGAGTTGAAGCATCTGGTTTCACGAGATTCCAAAGTGTAAAACATTCGAATTTGCTAACAAATCAGGCAATCAGTGCTTTTCAAACGAACGATTGAGCAGTCAATTGAGCTGAAGCAGCTGGTTTCACGAGATTCCAAAGTGTAAAACATTCGAATTTGCTAACAAATCAGGCAATCAGTGCTTTTCAAACGAACGATTGAGCAGTCAATTGAGTTAAAGCAGCTGGTTTCACGAGATTCCAAAGTGTAAAACATTCGAATTTGCTAACAAATCAGGCAATCGTTGCTTTTCAAACGAACGATTGAGCAGTCAATTGAGCTGAAGCAGCTGATTTCACGAGATTCCAAAGTGTAAAACATTCGAATTTGCTAACAAATCAGGCAATCAGTGCTTTTCAAACGAACGATTAAGCAGTCAATTTAGTTGAAGCAGCTGGTTTCACAAAATTCCAAAGTGTAAAACATTCGAATTTGCTAACAAATCAGGCAATCAGTGCTTTTCAAACGAACCGATTTGCCGTCTTTTTGACAAACGAACGTTTAGTGGTGCAATTTCACCCTCTTAAAACAAAAGCCTTAAATTTAAATAAAAACAGATACATACATTGTATGTTAGAGAGAAAGGGATCGAGAATAAATGGATATAGAACAATGTAATTTTTATGCAGAGTAACATATTTTTTGATCTGGTATTTTCGTTCCATATCCACTTCTTAGGATAAAAAACACAATAATTCTATTTTTTTTATTACAAACTGTAGGATGTAGCCTTAAATAGTGATTTTTGGATGTAGGTCATTATATGGTTTCGCGACTTTCAAATTAATATGGATATAGTACAAAATATTAGATTTTCTTTCTTTATTTGTGAATTTAACTATATTGTTTTTGTGGATATAGAACAAGCTAATTCTGCATAAAAAAATGGTGTATACAGGGTGTCCCAGAAATAAGTGCAAATATTTTAAATGGTAGTATAGTTCAACCCCAGAAACACGCCTATGAGTTTTTTTTGGCGAAAAAAAAATGTTGAAAATTTAAAATTTTTCTTGACATTTTCCGGGAAATTTGAAAAAACTTTTTAGTGCCACTTGTTTATTCACCTGAGATTTCCCTACGGTGTATCTAAACCTTGCCGTGTTGCAACCTCCTATGATATCCACATTCTAAATAGTTTGGCGGAACATAGTTCTACATTTATAAATTCATAGACAAATTTCTACTCAAAAAATTAGGAATGTTAAATTTAATCTTTTATCGGTGCTCATTATTAATAATTATAGAAAAAAAACACATTAATTATTTTTAGTACTTACCCTTTCAATGAAAACTTAACAAAAACCACCGAAAATTAACTAAAACATTACGTTTATGACGTTTACGAAAATCTTTGTTATGCTGCAAAATAACTTTATTTTGGAATAAATTTAATAAAATGATTCATATTATTCACAATCAGGTTGCAAAAAGAAATTTCTAAAATATTTATCGTAATTTAGAATTCAATTCAAGAAATTT